AAAGAGCCAATCCTCCCTATATGCAACCTCTGGATTCTCTTCCTTTCCATTAAAGGCATTGTTCCTATGCAGTATTTAAAACAGTCAGTTCATGTAGCGATGCGGGACTGTCAGACGTGCTCCATAGGGATAAATAGACACCGTTTTTTACACGGATTGTAGACACAATTTGAAGCCGAGTGAAAGTGGACACTCTGGGTTTTAAGTGCATGTTTCAACATATACATGCACACACATAATAATAATAAAGAAAATAATAAAAATAATAAAAATAATAATAATATCTAAATTGGTCTGAGGGGTGGAGGATCCCTTATTTGCACATCCCAATGTTGACGGGTATGGTGCTTGTGGATGTGGATTGTTTCATCATATGACTGATTCATTTCCACATGCTTTTGGTTGAGGTTTTGTCTGTAAAATAATGTTAGGATGTCAAAACATTGTGTTAATGCTATAAATTAATAAAAAATGCAGTAGTTAAATTCTACTGTAATCTTTTTATTTACCGTAAATGTACAGTGCACATCAGACAGTTTGATCTTTATCACCCCTGCTGAACTCATTTGAGTGGAGATGTGGACACAGCATATTTCTGTTTTGGCATGTTTTCTTTGCGTGCGTAACAAGTGCATATCATTTTTCTATGTGTGTGTTTTTGTTTTGTAGTGATAACAGCCCACCCTAAAAACGACAAGTGCACGCTCACAATCACTCCATTGTACTTTGACAAAAGTGCCTTTGATGTGGTGGATGCGGAGCAATCTAGAGTCACGACAGCGTAGAGAGGCAGGAGATATTTACTCTGCTTACAGGAGCAGTGCTGTTTGGAGAGACAGCAGCTGCAGGAGGGACATCCCCATTGTTTGATCTGGTTCAGTCCCTCTGCGGTTTGGATACGGCTACCCCCAGGATGCCCATAGCTTTGCAGTTGGGAGAGATAAAAAAGCTCAGCTCATTCTGTGCACGCTTCGCTCTAGGCTGATTTCACATGTGCATACACTGAAAAATGAAAGTCTGTACCATAAAACATACTTCTGTGGGTAATGAATAATTGCTTACGTAATAATCTCCCATGGATTTTCTGTAATCTGGTTTGTAAATACCCAAGGCTGGACCCTCTCCTCAAGATGTTGCCATCTGGTGTGTATGATAACCTCATTTAGACCTAGTATATTATTGAATGTCCATTTTTCATTACTTGTGATTAGTATAAACCTTTTCTTTTTTAGATGGATAAACCCACATATAAAACTTCAAGATAAAAGCAACTCCTAATGCCAATTTAGGAAAAAATCTAAAAACAACTGGCGTGTCAGTTTTTAAATTGGGACTCCTGAACATTTACTTTAGTTTCAAGTATTTTAGCGTTAACTAGCTCCTAAATCAGTCAAATATCCTGACCGACTGAGAACAAACCACAAAACTATCCAAAAAATTTATAAAATAATAATGCACTCAACAAAGTCTCCATGAATACATTTCCCCATCAGCCAATGACGGTGTGCATTTACTCTTCGCTTTAGATCGCTCTCTGTTCTTTGAAAATGTTTGTCTCAGCAGCTTTGAGAACAGAGAATACTCTTGTCTGAAAATGTTTATGACTGAAGAACTCTTAGTGGTAAGATAAAATAATTTGTAAATACTGGCCCCAGGGGCGGACTTAACCAATAAGCGAGGTTAGCAGCTGCTTTGGGCCCCAGGGAATTAGGGGACCCCAACTAATGCCTAGAAGCCTGTTAATCATAAAGCTCTTTCATAAATGGTCAATGATATGTTGTAAAATCTTTCTATAACTGTTAAGATTTTAGCGTTATTAATTATTTTTAGAACCGGGGACCCCCATGAATAATTGAACATTTTAACCGTACTGCACCTGCGCAAAGTGTGAGCTCTTTAAAGACACTACCAATCCAGTGTTGCCAACTTAGCTACTTTTCAGACCCCCAGCGATAAATTTTTAAAATATTAACTAGCTACTATTTTTTTTGGTGTTGCCGGAGATTTTTCTCATGTGTCTGTTCTTTACCATTTCTACTCTTCTCAACGAGCTGTGGGTGATGCGTCAGCCTTTCCCCTGCCTTGGTGCACTCACAGACAGCCCAGTACAACACAGCTGTCTCTCTTAGCAGATCATTGTAACGGCTTCCGATTCACAAACAGCAAATATTCGATACATATGAAAAATTGTGAAAATATTAGTTTGATGGATTGTGAATTAAATTTGCTTAATTTGTTTTGTAATTATTATTAAAATGTAATCAAAGAAATGGCTAATTAACTGTACATCACGGTGCCCAAACTCAGTCCTGAAGGGCTGGTGTCCTGGAATGTTTAGCTCCAACCTGAATCAGACACACTTGAGCTAGCTAATCAGGTTCTTAAGTTTTAAGTTTTTTATACTTATTCTTAACATTTATTTATTTAAATAATTTTTAGCATGTTGTTTATTTTTGATAAAATGCTAGAGCCCCATACCTGGATAGGAGACCCAAATAAAAAGCCCCAATAAAAGTGGGGGGAACAGCTAAATGAGATCCAAAATTTAAGTTCATTTTATTATTAATCACCTGTTTTTAAATGGTCTGTCTCTAAAAGTAAGGGGGACGTATAACCCCCCCCCCCCCCCCCCCCACCCCCACCCCGTTTGCTCCTCCCCTGCCTGATGGGCCCTGATTTCAAAGCCACTAGGGGCAACACATTTGCCCACAGAGAAGTAGCTTTTTAAAGTCATATTATGAAGCAGATGTGCCTTTATGCACTCAAATTATTGTGGTGGAAACTTTATATACATTGGTGAGAGATTGTGCTCACAAAGAATCATTCAAGAGCACAGGAATTTGCTTTTGACCCCTGCCCCATGAATTGTACAAGCTTCGCTACACTGAAAGCTACATTATATTTCCCACAGCTTCACTATAGCGGTGTTGTACAAATGCCGGTTATTCACAAACATAATCTGTCTTTCTCTCTAATTTATTTATTAAAATTCATTCAAATATAAAAAGGTTAATCTTATTGCACTACTTTATTTTCACTTCAGAACATAAACTGCAGCTAAACTTAGAATGAAGGACAACATTAGTTAAGTGTGTTCAGCAGACATTCACGACAGCTTGTAACTTAACTATGCTGTCAGATAATCATGGTACACAGATATCCAGTCCTGTCTAAGGTGAATGTAAACAAGTGGAACAAAAAAATCAATTATGGTCAAAAAGATCAGCCTTAATACTTACAGTAAAAATGTTGCTTTTGTTCCTCTGTCATTGAAGATTTTACATAATTTCATACATTTATTGTAGTGTAATATTCTTAAGGCACATAGGCCAATTCACACTGCATCAACAAACACATTCATTGGGTTTCAGCTATTAGTCAGCGCTTGTTTTACATTTAAAGAGTTCACACTTAGCTGGGGTTGATAATAAAGCTTGTTTGGCATGCTGTCTCGCGAAATAGCCCTGAGCTCAGAATATCCTTGAGCCCGGGGCTTCCTCCCGTTTGAAGGATGATAGGGGCGTTTGAGCTCATGTAGGTCTCGAGAACTCCCCTGCTTGTGAATGTGTTAGGAATAGCTAAGAGATATAGCTGTCTTATGAAGCCATTTTGGATCAGTCAATTTACTTATATTGTATGTCTTTGGACAATGAGAGGAAACCAGGGAACCCAGGGAAAACCCACGAGAGAACAGGGAGAACATGCAAACTCCACACAGAAACGCCAACTGGCCCGGTAATGGCTCAAACCAGTGGCGTTCTTGCTGTGAGGCAACAGTGCTTACCACTGGGCCGCCGTGGAGAAGGAGAAGGGTGAGGAGTAGGGGTGGAAGGGGGATTCTTCAAGACGAAGATGACTGAAGTGAAAAACTGGTTTAGTGAGTTAGGAATCATCAGATTGGCACAATATGTGAAGCTGATACGGGACCAGTCGTGATCAATCATAAGCACATGATCCTCTCAAAATAATTTTTTTAAATGAACCGCAATTTTTGGGTCTTGTAGTCTGGTATTGTAGTAAATATTGCCATTGATTGGTTTCTGCTGGTGTAGAACCTTTTTCCATGGATCCCTAACAAATGCAGAATGTTTGTCAATAGTTTGTGGATTCAAGTTTGAAAACTTTTGCTTCTGTGGAGCTTAATAGTTCTTTTAAAAGTAATAATATTGACCTTGCAACTTTCAGTGATCATTTCATTTTCTTTGATACTGCAAATAGCTTTTTTCCACTATAAAGAAACCAAACTATGTTTATTGGGTTCCATAGATGGATAGATGGATGGATGGATGGATAGATAGATATGGGTGCAACACATACAGAAATGTGATCATATCATGCATGGACAGTCCAACAAAACATCAACATTTAGAAAGTCTGCACATAATTCACAGCCCATTTATCTGAGAAAGAGTGTGTGGAAGTACACGGTCAGATATATATGAGTTGTTTACTCCGGTGCTGTCCCCTGCGGCTCTGGTTGAGCTGACCCTAGTTAGCTGTTTGTGTTCAGAGACAGTGAGGGTCTCGTGCACATGGCTGTGTCAGTGGCCAGGGACAGGGATCCTCAGCCTGTAGGAGCGCATGACACTGAGGCACATGTGATCTCTCGCCCCCTCAGACATGAGGAGACAAGAATCCTCTCTCAGCTCATTTGAAGGTCATGGCATAGAGGGGTCCTGCCACCCGTGTGTGTGTGTGTGTGTGTGTGTGTGTGTGTGTGTGTGTGTGTGTGTGTGTGTGCGTGTGTGTGTGTGTGTGTTTTTGTGTGTGTGTGTGTGTCTTTGGCTTCTATGAAAAAGTGAATGTTATTTATGTTATTACAATGTAACATAGCATTTTGTGTACCTCATGGACCTTTAAAATATGTAAACATATAAATGTAGGGATTTATTTGTAATATGGGTGAGCTATAGTAACATTTCAGCTATTCAAATTAAGGAGCGAAATGTGAAGCTGTAAATTAGTCAGTGTGTTTTGATTTAACATTGTGTCGTGAATTTGGCGCAGCGCGTTCGCAGGTTACAGGAAACTAGCGTGGAGCCGTGTACACGGAAAAGGGGGTGTGTGAGGATACTGGCAGCGTTTCATGCAGCTCCAGTGGACACCAAAGCGGGACTCGCTGGTGTGTGCGTGCGTGTGTGTGTGTAAAGAGAGCTAACACACACACTCTCACACACTTAACATTTGGACACAACATGGCGATGAGGCGCCGAGAGACACGACGACTCTTCCCCGACTAACACGACCACGTTATGTTCATAGGTTGGGGAAGCGCGCGACAAGGAAATAATTACGTGAAATTACGCGCAACTAATTAAACCTGAAGAGATCTTTCCCCCTCCGAATTCCATTATATGCATGTAGCTGTAGCGGTCATATAAAGCACGCACTGCTTTACCCCCGCTGCTGGAAATCAAACGCTGTACATGGCGGTGGAGAATATCTGGTTCTTCTGTCTACTTTCTCTGGGTTACTGTGGATTATCCGTGCAAGGTAATACAAGCTAAATCTAACAGCCAGTGCTATGCCTTTTTAAGTTGTGTTTGTGTCTGGTCGCTCGTGTCTGTATTTCTTTGTATCTGTCAGGATAAGCGAGTAGAGGGGCTGGAGAGAGAAATCGTGCACCTTGCTTGTTGCAGCGTTGTGGAGCTCTTTTACTTTTTCACGTTTTCTTGCAAACAGGCTGCTATTTAAGCTAAAGTGCGGGATTTATTTTTTGGACTCAACTTTTTTGTCACATCTGAACCTCACTTTTGCAAGCAATATTATGCGCGCACGGGTTGGTTAATTTGACGTAAAAATGATCAAACAATATTAGAGCAAATGGATTAGAGACAAAATAAAAGAAGGCAGTGTTTGCTCTGAGGGGCGTATATTGAGTAGGGGGTGAATTTATAGGTTCATCAGGATTTGTACCAAAGTAACCTTTGCCTTTAGCAAATCACCTTTAAAGTCCACTGTTTCTAGTCTCATATGTTGACACTTTGTAGCCCTTAGTGGACTTCAAAGTGGGGTTAGGGCATATTAAAAAGTCATATTGATAGTTACAATTTTATATATTACCAAAACTAAACATATTACCTCATATATTTAGTTCCCTCATTATATTATTTATAGCCAATTAAAAGTTTATTTGGTTACAATTTAATGACACTGAAAATAAGATTTAAAAGTAGATATTAATTATCTACTTTTTAACAGATTATTAATCTAAAATCTAATGCACATAGAGTTTATATACGGTTAATTATAGTAGAGTAAAAGCAAGGCAAGCTTAAACAAACGAAGCAGATTAGGTTTTTTATTTGTTAAACGACCAAAGTGCTTTGACAGTAGATGTGACGGAGGTCAGGTGGAAGAGAGATATGTTACGAGTTGCTTGAGACTTTATTCAAAAAGAACATGTATATAGTTTACCTCATATTATAGTCGGCTTTAAAATATTGACCAGAATTTTCTTAAGAATGCCAATGGCTACATGAAAATCAATAGCTTTGTGGTAGCTACTTTCGTCGGCCACTAGGGGCATTGGCCCGAAATACCCCCCGAAATTGACCCCCCTGAGAGGCATTGTGTGATTCGGACACTTTTAATAATAAGACTTAAATTGATTGAACAAGTCAGTTTGTTAACTCTTGCATAATTTGACTTGTAAATCAAATATTGATATAATTTAGTATTTAAAACATGGCTTTGATACCAATACTTTTAAGGTCATCTTGTGGCATATATTTATCGGACAGTATGGCAGTGAGATTAAAGGCAGCAGAAATGTTGATGTGGCTCGTGAAGGCTGAGCGCTGTTCAGTGCAGGAGCCTCAGGCAGGAATCAGCCACTCGCATTCAGTCACAGGCGCTGGAGGAAAAAAAGGGGTGGGGAGTGGTCAGGGCGACTTATCCAAAGACTATACACCTTATTTACATAACAAAGAAGAGCACTGAAACACATGGGCACCTCCTGGCACCCAGAGATGCCCTTCGTCTCACCGATGTCCGCTGGGAAGAATAAACGGCAACCACTGCGGTCAAAACACAGTGTCATCTTTGAGCTCCGTTAACGATTTTAGTGCCAGTGCAGATTATTTACAGCGGGGCGGAACCTACAGTGATCAATTGCATTCAAACTCCGTGCTCGGACTGCTAGGGTGCTCTGTTTCCCTGCCTTTTTATTAACGTTTTATTATATTATTAGTGTCTTTTGTATACATTTTAATTATAATTAGACATTTTAAAATACAACTTCGGGTTCTTATCCAAAGTTGTTGTTTTTTTGATAGATGATTTGTCATTCATCTTTAGTTAGCAGCTCACTATATTATCTTCATACAGCATGGTGATTGTCCTATATTTGTCACTATTAAGATAAATGCTTGTGCCCTGCTGATTTGCATGCTAGACCTGTAGATTATGCTTGGCTGGTTCATGAAGTAACTATCTGTTCTCTCTGATAGCTACTGGGGTTGTTTTTGTGGTCATTTGGTAATATATAAGAGCAATAATATAATTATAATAACACAGGGGAAACCTCTGTTTTTTCTATTCTGTGGTAAATATGATTATCAAGGCTCTTAAAGAGAAAATGTCCTTCAATAGATTGCTATTAAACTATTAAATATTTGCGCTAATGTATTGCTGTCTCTTTTGGTATGTGCTGGATGAAAAAAATAGACAGAAAAAAATTAAGATCTAATATTGCTCACATACCTTTCGTTGCCCTTAGTCAATGGCTACTTAGGTTTTTTAACGGTGAAAGCTCCCATTACTAGTCATAAACAAACCGTAATGCTTGTCATATTAAATATTATTCATCCCTAGGTCGGTAGTGGGCTCAGTGATGGGTGACTGTGTTTGGTAAGAGTGCCTGGCAAAAAAAAAAAAATTAATAATAAATGAAAAATATCTCCAACTTATCACACAGAGGGATATTTTTGGTCCTTCTTTTCTTACACTCATGTTTTTCTGACTCTTTATGACCTTTTTAGGATATTATAAAAGTTGATATTCAGACATTTTGTTTACTTTAGACTTCCATTTTATGGACAAATCAAATAATTTTTCAAGTATTTTGTGTTCCACATAAGACAGAAAGTTACACAGTTTCGGAGGCTCAGACAGAGTTCAACATTTTGAAGGAACTATTTCATTACACTAAGCCACATAACTAAAACCCCAGAATAGTTCATGAAGAGGGAAATTTCAATAGAATTTGAAGTCAGGTTCAAGTCAATGGAAAAGCCAAAAAGTTACAGACATTTCAGATCTTCTGAAAGTTCTAAATCTTCTTTTATGGTGTTAAATAGGGCAGCATGGTGGCTCAGTGGTTAGCACTGTTGCCTCCAGCAAGATGGTCGCTGGTTTGAGTTCGGGCTGGGCCAGTTGGCGTGTGGAGTTTGCATGGTCTCCCGTTGTTCGCGTGGGTTTCCTTTTTGTGCTGTGGTTTATCTGAATTGGATAAACAAAATTGGCTGTATTGTATGTGTGTAAATGTGAGAATAAATGTGTGTTTCCCAGTACTGGGTTGCAGCTAGAAGGGTTTCTGCTGCATAAAACATATGCTGGAATACCTGGCAGTAGGCATGTGATGATAACCGGTTTCAAGGTATACCGTAGTTTGGAAAAGTCAGGGTTTTAAAACTGCTAAATGTTTCTGTTACACCATTAGTACGGTATATTTTCTTACATGTTACAGTGTGTCCAGCAGAAAATATATCCAAATATGTCTTTTTCAAATAGTAAAGAAATCAGTGTTTTGAAACTAAAGACAGCAGAAGTCAATGATTCATTTCAATTATTCAGCCCGACATGTTTACTGCTCCAAAATATTTTAATTGTTTCTCAAAATACAATTTATTGTGTTCAAAGGGGAATTATTTTTTCAAGTGACTTTTTAAAATTAACTTTTTTTAGAGCAGTAACCATTATATTGAAACCGTAATTATATTATCCAAGGTTATTATACCGTCAGAATATTATACTGCTTCATAGTTCATTTTGCTGTGGTAACCCCTGACAAATAAGGCACTAAGCTGAAAGAAAATAAGTGAATGAATATGACTAAACTACTAACTGCTAGTTATAATCTTCAGGGTTTAACTGAAAGTTATTGTTGTAGCGTTAGCGTCAGCTTCCCATAGACCACTGGTTAAATGTCTTGTGCATGAAGGCACAAAAATATATAACGCTTTCGGAGTCAGCTGTTGTGGCGTCAATCCCCCTAATAAATAAAGAAAGCCATCGTCTTTACACTTGTGCCGCTGAGCGCTCATCATGATAGACTTACCATGAAACTATAAGAAGTATGTGGAGTTCTGGGCACAGACTCTTGTTGAATGTACACCACATTCTTGAGTTAATGATTTATTGGTAGTCTGCAGGTATATAATTTCTAGACTGTCAGCTTTATATGTTCACAACCTTAATCATGACGCTGAACAAAAAGAAATGTGATTGGTTTCATTTGTGAGCATGGCCCCTCGGGTGGTCTTTGGCCATGTGAAAGCAGCAATGGACTCTAGACCTGTCCTTAGTCTGAAGGTCTGCTTACACGAGATTATAGTTGTTGTTGGAAATGAAAATCAGCTGAAATGCTGACTCGAGCACCTGTGGTTTATGATAACAAAAGACATCAGAGATGTTTTGGGACTTCCATTATGGACAGGCGGTGATGTGGAGGAGTGCAATATTTTGACAGGTGTCACCGCAAGAGATGCTCTAAGCAAATACATTAATAGGAGAAGGGATGAGTGGTGGAGCAAATACACCTTTTGTTAGAGTTAAAATTTATTTATTTATTTTTTGTGAAACCCATGAATAAAGCATCCTTGTTTTCTTACTGCTACTGTTTCATTCTGTCCAGTAAGATATGCACCCAAGGCTTTCCTGGGGTTGTGTGTCTGGTTTACTGAGAGGAAGAGCGATGGATATGGAGAGATGTTTATGTGTGTTTTTAAGTAATGCAAAATAATCATTAGGGTGATTTTTAGGGAGATCTATGGACCCTATCATACACCCCACACTGTAAAAAATGTTACTTAGATCTAACTTATAAAAAGTGAGGCAAGTGGTTGCATCGGACGTTTTAGGTTGATTCAACTTCCAGCCTTTTTTAAGTATTTTAAACACTAAAACATTGCTTAAAACAAATGCAATAAAATTAAGTTGAGCCAAATAATATTTCTAAAATTACTCAAATCAGATAAACTTACTTTTTTTGTTAAATTTAACTTACTTATACATTGCTATATGTTGACTGTACTCATTTTAATTAAGTATTATGAACTTAATGATCTAAATAAAATTAACCATGCATATGTCATTTAAAACGAATTTAATTGACTTCTGGCTGTAACCTCAGAAAATAAATCGGCAATTCTATATTGTAAGCACAATATACACTAGTAAACACAGATAAACAGACTTTCCTGTCAATAACAATTAAATAAGAATGGGAAGATGGATTAAAGACCATAACATGTATTCAATATCAATCAATG